CTCAGCAAAAAAAAAAGAGGAGGATTAGTGTGGATGTTAGCTCAGGGCTGATCTTCCTCACAGAAACAGAAACAAAAACCAAAACCAAAAAAAAAAAAAAAAAGAAAGAAATTGTGAGAAATCAAATGCCTATTAAGACACAAAAATTGATGTAAAACTATGAATAGTGTTTCAGAAAAGAATTAATGAGTTTTGACATATTTCCAGGTAACTGAAATAAGCCACTATTTCCCTGTGTTGTTGGGGTCCAAGCCTCCTTGTTGTCATGGATAACATATTTTATTCTTTAACAATGTATAGGCAGGTGGCTTAGTCTTATATAAAGATAAAAATCTGACCTAGAAATTATTATGAAAATGTCACATAGGCAAGTTGCTTTATTTCTACTAATGATTATGCATCTGAGCTTTTACTCAGAATTCTGATTTAATGGCTCTTCCTGTCACTTTTTGTAAACCTTGAAGGCTTTCAAGTAGTGAATGATTTGAAAAGTAGGAATCCAGAAGTTATTGAGCTTTGTGACTTTAATGAGGTGATGAGTCCTACGAATCAGTTTATCATGATGTTTGGACAAATTAGCTTTGAGATAAATTTAAAAAATGTCAATCACTGTTGCCAGGATTGACTTTTGCACTTGACAAGCAAAACATCTGGACCGAGCATTATATGCCCCGCCATTGCGTGGTCCAAGCTTAATTGGGGGCTGGTTAACTCATTTTCTAGTGAGTGCCTTTCTTTACCCAGCATGAGCACTCAGAGCCACACCCTCTTTATTTAGGGCCTTTGATTTATTTCTGCCTTGGCCTCTCCCCATAAATCTCTATATTTCAGAAGAACTGATTTTGCATAAGAGTTTAACCTTGATTCTGGGTCTCTTTATCCCCACGCTTGAACTATTATGTCACCCACCTAAATTCTGACCATTCCCACATGGTTCATCCTATTGCCCTTTTTCTCTCCTGTTTCTCCCATAGGAGAGCTTCCCTTCTCCCTGAATCACTGGGGAAAGTACCTCTTGAGAGCTCCTGGTTCTCCACTCGGAAGCTGCGTTGGTAGGCTGGGACTGGGCCGGCATTGCCTTGTACAGGGCAATCCTGCTTACACGACCTGTAGAGAATGCAGAGCTCAGGTATGATGTACAGCAGCAGGAAGACCCAGGCATTGGTGACCAGGGCAATGCAGATGACAGCGTCGTCCCACTGGGGCTGCCGCTGGAGCTGTGGGTTGCCTCTCATGAGCATGGAGATCCACACCACCCAGATAACGATGGAGATGAGCACAGTGACGAAGATGAACCTTCCATGCTGCTTCCAGTTCTCACATGGGCCACAGAAAGTGGCTTTGGAGACAAAGAACGTGAGGGCCATCAGGAAGAGGACATAGATCAGGAGTACAACAAAGTCCACGTTGAGCTGATAGGGTGTCATACACACCCACATCGTACCTCTGGTCATCATGAGGGTCACGTACTCAATGGCAATGATCATCTGCAACAGGCTGACACCAATAGCAATGAACAGAATTGTTGTCCAAGAGAAGGAGACTCTACCTCGGACTAGCTTCACCAGGTTGGAGGCATGAGCCAAAAGGCATGAGAAACAGAGAGCAAAGAGAACCCCAAAGAGAAAGTAGCGTACGGCGGCAGTTTGCTGATTGAGTTGGATGATGAAGGCAAAAGCAAGGCTAAAGAGCCCCAGCACACCCAGGAGGAAGAGGAACTGGGTGGGGAGGACATTCCACTGGCTGCAGTCTTGAACCTTTCGCATGAGAAAGAGAAATGCCAAGAGTAGCATAATTGTAACCACTATGCCTGTTGCCGCCAGGGACTCTAGAACAATGCCCCATGTCCCCTTGGTGTCACAGAGGAGATAATAGTCCCCAGTGGACTCAACGCAGTCTTCATACATGGTAACTTGTAGGTAGACCTCCCAAGAATGGTCTTCTGTTCCCCTGTGGAAAAAAGATGAGACAAACTTATGACTTTGCATCCACCTAAGAGAACGCCTCTTGGTTAGTCCTATGCAGGCACTATAATGTTTCTCATTCCCAAATGAAGACACCGGGACATAAAGAATGAAATAGCTCAAAACTATCAAATCCTCAAAACTATCTTAGCTCCATCCTGCTGGGAAAAGCAGAACAGTCTTCACTTGGGGGCTTCAGATAATTCGTCCATCTTCATGTCACAATTTCCACCCAGGCTTTTTGAAGCCTAAGGCAGAATCTTTTTCATAAAATGGAGTGGGTGATAATGTTTGTATGACTGATGGGATTCCAGTTATATCAGGCTCCAGAACAAAAGTTGTCAACATTAATGGATCATTTGATCATTCAAGACACTGATACGCTGCTTGAAGGAGACAGGCAGAGGATTTTTCCTAGTAATTCTAATAACTGTTCCTTCTTTTCATTCAAGTCAATCCAATGCAACATGTTATTGTTAAGTACCTATTATTTGTTCATTGAAGAATTATACAAAATGGTCCCCCAAATAACTTTTTGGACAGTTTAGCATCAAAACCTATATATTAACTGAGATTACCTAGGAAAAAATTTCACATATTCATTTGGAAAAAAGTGCCTTGCAGTTGAATACCCCTAACTCCACTCCCCTTCAGTTATTCCCAAGCCAGATGGCCTGAGTGATCCAGGTTTATAGCTGAGGGCATGGTCCTTTCATTCTGACTTACCTTCTCTGTGTCCACGCTGGAGGCTGAGGCTGTAGTGGCTGCGAGGTTGTGACTGCCAGTGAGTAAGAAGGAGACAACCTCAGCTTCTTTAATCGCTCCCCAAATGGGCGGAAGGACTGGAGGCCCTTACTCAGGTTCCTGCAGCGCCTATAAAAAGAACCGGAAGGTCAGAAAGACACACCTATTCCAGTTTCTCAGCAACTTTTCTATAGAGATCTCTTTGGTGAGAATAATTATTTTTCATTCTACTGCGAACTAGGGGCACCTGGGCCTTAAGGAGATCCTGAAGAGGGTGTGAATTTAGGAAAGACTGCTTCAGCCCCATATACTCCACTGACTTCAGGGAGCGGCCAGAGGCCCTCAGTTGGCCTTCCATGAGGATGCTTCATTCTTCTGACCTACTCCCTAAAAAGCCATCTCCAGAGTCTTTCTCACATCTTGATTTTGACCATAAGCTCCCAAAAAGCATCCATTCAACAAAGGAATAGGAGTTTTACTGGGCCGTAAAAGTGACAGTGGTTGGCAAAACTGTGAATTAGGGGAAATTTGTCTTCTCTACTCTACTGCTCTCTTTTCCTCTCCTTTGGAAGTCCTCAGGCCTTGGCTGTCCATCAGATCTGGGCCTCTACTTGGACTAGTTCTTCCTGGTATTGCCGAAGGCTTTGGTATTATTTCCTTCTCTCCTTCCTCTCCTCACCCCCATCAGGATGCACTTGTTCTGGGTCTGGGCCCACTAGGGCATTCCCAGGGCCCAAGACAGAAGAACTCACAATTAAACGTTACCAGCTGATATTGGTATAACATATTCCTTTTCTCCTATGGTGACATACAATCGAGCACCCATTGCAGTGTGCAGCCTGTACTGACTGCGGGCCCCCTCCCCACCCCCTGTCCCCAATTTACTCCTTGGCTCTTTTCCTGGATATTTGCATTTTGACAGAGGACTTCTGAAGACCCCAAATCAAGCCCTGTTAGTCTGATTTCAAGTCACTCTGTGATTGTACCTTTCTCGTCCAACCATATTTCTTTCAGGTCCCCTGGCCCCGTGGTTTAGCCAGGTTGGTTTTTCCACTGCCTCACAAAGAACCAAGCTCCCTGCTCACCTTCGCTTAGATGTTGTCGCTGACCTGAATCGCCTTTAGCTCTATTCCCATTGATTCTGTTTCCTACCCAAACACTTTCCCTCCCTCTAAGATCTAGCTCATCTTACCTCCTCTATGAGCTTTCCTGCCTTTCCTGATCTCTCTAGCCCTCATGGATCATCTCCCACCACGAACTCTACAACACATAGGGTCTTTGCTGTTCAAAATTATGGAAACCATATTTTCTGCCTATTTAATGTGCATTAATTTATTAATAAATATAATAATAAATTTATTACTTTATTTTATTTTATTTGTATTAGTCTCATCCCCTTGATTAGATTTATAGCTGCTTAGGGGTCAGGTTCCACAGTTTACGCCCCCAAAGCACCTGGCCTCGAGGAGAGCACCTCCTAGATGATGCATGGATCTTTGAATTGAAGGATTCCAACAATAGAATTCCAGGACTTGTGAAGGTATTTTTTAGCACTGTGGTTTTCCAACAGATGATTTTTAAAGGAAACCACCTACAAATAAGTCAGGACCTTAACAAACCCCAGACAAATTCTTTTTGAAGTGGTATTTTATCTTGAGAGGCTCCTTAACTGTAAAACACTATTTTTTTTTTTTCTTTGAGAGAAGAATATTCTAGGGAAGAGAGTCCTCCCCTTTACTTGCTTTAGGCATAATTGTGGTCTGAAGCTGTCGAAGCTAAGGGTAAAGGGATTTTCCAGATGATGAAATGTGACATCCGTGAGAATTCACTCAGAGAGCCTAGTGAGTGGTTAAATTGGTGCCGTAGAACAACAAAGGGTTTCCCACTTAATTCTTCCAAGGGGGCTGTTTTGGTGACCCCATCCCTCGTCCCACCCCCTTCCAGCTAGTTAGTCACGGTCATTCCTCACTATTGTGAAATTGAGGTTTCTGGAGTGCTTGTCTTCTAAGGAGATTCCTCCTGACCTTCTGATGGCTTGGGGCAGGTGAATTAATGGGTTAATGACCACAAAGCCCTTTGAGCACCTTAGATAAAAGAACTTGTTTCAGGTACTAATTATTGTTATTTTAAAATCTGGGGTTATAGAATTAACCCATCTACTGCTAGGCCCTAAGGAAATGAGGGCCCTCTTTGCCTACACACATCTGCATTACTCACACCTCATTTCTCTGGGCTTTTATGTGGCAACATCACGCCAAAGAGCTCAGATATGGCTTTGATGAATCAAAGTGTATTGGTTACAAGTCCATTAAAAATGGAGCTGAAACAGTCAAGAGGCCAAATGCCTTTTGCCCAACACCTGCTTGCATTGTTTTCTTCTCCCAGAAACAGAGCTGGAGGGAATATTAGAGGACACATGGTCTAACCCTTTCATTAATAATTAATATTAAGGAAGCCAGCATTATCACATGAGGAATTTAATAATGAGGAAGCAGAGGCCCAAAGACATGAAGGGGTGTACCCAAGGGGTGGAATTTTAGAGGAGACTGCCAGGTTGTCTGAGCCCTGGTCATTCTTGCTGCCATCCCAGGCTGCCTTTCCTGACACTTCCCACCTCAGGAGAACAGGCCTGAAAGAGACAAGCCCTTAGACATGACATGTGGGTCATAACCAGAAAGAAAAAGAAGATAGATTATGACAGTGCATCAGACATTCTTCATCCTGCAACTAATCCTGCAGCTGTCACGACTGGCTGTGTGAGGCCTGGCTGTGTGGGGGGGATGTGTCGGCCACCGATGAATCATTTGCACTTTTTGCTCACTGGCGTCTCCAGCGCTGGTTTCATAGGGGTGTAACCAGTGCGGTTGTTCAGGGCACTCCACTCAGAAGGGTCCTGTGCTTGGAGTTTAATGCTCTGTGGTTACCATCTTGAAATTCTTAATAATTTTATCTTTGAATATGCGTTTTGTGAGTGAAGTCAGATGGGACAATGGGGCATGTGCCTTGGCTCATGTGCCATTCTGCCTTTCATTGCCTCCCTGCCTCCCTGAGACAGGTTCTCAGCTGCCCATTTCATGCCACTCCTTGGTGCCCTGGGTTGCCTGGCTTCCCCATTTCTGCTTCTGGCCCGTGACTGCTGTCACACTTTACTTGGGGTCACCTGTCCACCATGGGTTGGGGTGGTCGGCCCTTGGAAGGGGGGGATTGAGTTAACCACGTCCACATTTTCATTTTGCACCAGGCCCTGCAAATTATCTCGCTGGCCCTGGTCATCTCATTGATTTTCTTGTATGTGATGGTTAATTTGTCAGTATTATATCAGGATGTTAACACTGTACAGTTTAACTGTATATTAATATAATGTGCAGTTAGTTGTGAAGAATCGCAGTGTTTAATCTGGGTCAGCATGTTGTCAACACTCTCAACCGAGTATTATTAAGGAATGTTCAGGGTATTTTTTGGAAAGGAAGTTATCTGACATTTTTTTCCATTTTGTGGCTATTATAACATTTTAATTGAACTAGTATATATTGCTCTTATTTTGGGTTGCTTTATTATTATTATAAGAGAGCAGAGGATGTGAAAAATATAGAGGTATGTCCTGGTTCAACTGCTGGATCTGGAAGTATAAATATGATACTATTGAGAAAAATGTTGACTAATAAAAATTTTGATTTTATTTGAACTGCATTATAGAAAGGAAAAAGTAGATGCAGGATCTTATAATGAAGATTATTTAAATGTGATTTAATAAAATATACAAGCTTAACAAAAATGATAGACTTGACGTATAATTGGTAATAAATTTTTTTGTGTGTGTGAGGAAGATCAGCCCTGAGCTAACATCCATGCTAATCCTCCTCTTTTTTTTGTTGCTGAGCTAACATCTATTGCCAATCCTCCTCCTTTTTTTTTTGCCCCAAAGACCCAGTAGATAGTTGTACGTCATAGTTGCACATCCTTCTAGTTGCTGTATG